ACATCTTGATAGGCAGAAGGGGGGGGAGGCCATTCCACAAAATATTGCAGACTAAAATGCAACGCAAAGAAATGTTACGCAGCCCAAAGCAAGCAAGTGATGGCAAAGAAAGCTGAGATTGTCTTTCATCCACCCCAACCCTCTTCCCATTTTCTGCTCATCTTTCATTCATTCTGTGTAGTTCTCGTAGTTATTTTTGTGCACTAGCAGTAATTCTGGGAAGCATTAATAAGAGAGTATTATGTTTACTCCAGTTAAATATTATAAAATTCCTTGTTTGGGCAAAAAAAGCAAAATGCAAGATGGCTCTGCTATTTTAGGAAGGCTACATTATCCACCTGTTTATTTTCTTTTTATCTGTCTCTGTATTTCCAAGAAAGGGTTTGTATCTCAAGCTATGGAGACGTGGCAAGCAATCTTTCCTCTCTTTCAGAAGTAATACACAGATTATCTCCCTCTGTAGGGTACACTATAAAAAAACAATTTCCCAAGAGTGACATTTTCCCCCATGAAGATATGAAGGATAACATTTTTATGAGCACATGTGAAATAATAGTTTGGTTTTTTTCTTCCTCTTAGGGAGACCCTGTGGGAAACATTTTCAACAGGTGAAGGAGACAACTTCAGTCCTGGGCTTTACATTAATCTGTTCCATCTATTGAGATTTAGATTGCTGTGCTATGTGTCCCATGTATAATAGCTTAAATATAATTTAGAGGTATATTAAAGGCAAATTGTTACAGCCGCAATATGAAATTCATGTCTTTCAAAGATAATAAAAGTTAATTGGTAGTGCCAAAAAATATCAAGACACCTGAATGTGTCTGAGCTGTAGAATGGTTTAATTGATGTCCCATCATCCTCCCCATACCTTCTAAATAAACTGGGGGAAAGAAAGCAAGTTTGGATTTAAAAAGTCACACTGCAATATCTCTTTGGCCCAGTTCACAATACTACAGCAGAGGTGCGTAACTTCTGGCCTGAGAGCCAGATGTAGCCCTTCACTTAACTGCATCCTGCCCCAGGCATTTTCAGGGACTCTTCACTGCTGAAATGGTGAGTAAAGCAGTTGCTCAGTTTGAAGGGAGAGTCCCAGTCTGGTGGCATTTAGGAGGTAGCAAGTTGGAGCCTGGCTGAGGAAGGAGACTCTGGACTAGGTCTGGCCCACGAAGGGAGGGATCAAAGTGAGAAAGGGGACAGATATGGAGGATGAGGGAAAAGTCAAGAAGCCACAGCATTTGTGGGAAATAAAAGAGGATGGGAGGAGTCCAGGATGAGAGACCCAAAGTCTGAAGATTACCTGCTGCTGTGTCATCAGGTGGCAACATAGCCTTCCCTTCCCATCCCCTCTCCCACTCAGTGCTGAATGATTCCAACCATCACAGGTCAGAAGCTCGGCTGCTCTTCCTGTCCTGGAGTGTGATACAAGGACACAGGAAAAGTTCATTGGATCAGTTCAAAGGCTGGATTAGGCCAACGGCCCATCCAATCCAGTATCCTGTTCTCACAGTGGCCAACCAGATGCCCATTGGAAGCCCACAAGCAAGACCTGAGCACAACAAACCATGATGCAGAGATGCCGAGTTCCACCAGACATTGGGCGGAGGGCTAGTTGTGTGCATGTGACGTCACACATGCAACACACACGTGTGAGGCCACACACAATGGGAGGAGGCTGCAAGGCCCGGAAGGGCCCTCCGCCACTACCAGGAGGTCTGGAGGTCTCCTCAGCCCTATAGAATTGGTGCCTCTGCCATGATGAATTATTTCCCCCCCTCCTCACGGTTCTGTCATTGTATTAGAGAAACATATAAAGAATGGAGGGTTAAGAAGTAACAAGGCTTTCCATTTATTTTGTGAAAGTGTTACCACTTCTCATTTCGTGCATCTGTAATAACAACAACAACAACAACAACCCAACTTTTGCCAGATTGCAGGTTGCAATCCTATGCATTTGGGAGCAAGTCTCTTTCAGAATTAGAATTACTTAAGGTTAGACTGCTCAACAGTAATCCTAAACCGTAGTAAAAAGGCAACAACTTGCTTGCATAGAGCCCAGTGATTGACACCACATACCGGCATGTTAAATACAGTCGTACCTTGGAAGTTGAATGGAATCCGTTCCGGAAGTCCGTTCGACTTCCAAAACATTCGGAAACCAAAGCGTGGCTTCCGATTGGCTGTAGGAAGCTCCTGCAGCCAATCGGAAGCCTCGGAAGTCCCGTTGGATGTTCGGTTCAAAAGAACGTTCACAAACTGGAACACTCACTTCTGAGTTGAACTCACTTGAAGTTCCCAACAGCTGTTAAGCAAGCAAGCACACAGGTCACCTTTGTCACAGTCAGGACATCTATGTCCTGACCAGGCCTGCACCCACTTGTTTTTGTACACTCTTGCTTGTTCTCAGTAACCAAAATTATATTATCAACATATACAAACAGAAAAGTTGTTTTCCTTCATTTGCAAGGAATTGTACAAAACAAAGTGGCACTAATAAAGAAAAGTTCCAGGGTGGCAACAGAAAGCAAACTAAAAATGTTTTTGCAGTTCATCAAAACTATCCAGCAATATCAAGTTATAGGAAAATTGGTCCTATTAACAGTAATCCTTCCAGTTGGTTAATTGGTTTGACAACTTCCATGCACATGACGTGTGATGCTAATTATTTCCCCAAAGAGTTAAATGGCTACATTTGCAAATGGCAACAAAATATATGTGAAAGGAAGAGGAGCAGATTTGCTCAAGTGTGTTGCAGGTAGAAATACTGTTTATAAGGAAGTGAAAGCAGTAGTTTACTTGCTCGAATTAACAAATAAGAAAGTTTTGAGAATTTAAATTCTAGATTAAAATTGATTACTTAATTGAGAAGGGGACTGTAACAAAAACACTGGGGCCTAATTTGAATAGTAGAGTGTCTGGTGTCTGGTGGGCATTCTCATCCTTTATTTCCACACTGCAGCTGCAGACCAAATCACCTATCAGGAGAGTTATGAGATTCAGGCGAGGGTCAGATGCCTTGTCAAACCCAGCAGGTATATAAGAGGGAGACCGCCCTGGCCTTCGCCCGTGGTTTTTTTAAGAATAACATTACAACTTCATTTTCCTAAAAAAAAAAAAAAATGCTTATTCCACGAAAGGTTTACAAAGTTCAGTTATTGCAAAAGTTTTTCAGCGTTAATTATGTGAGTTTGTGTATGTGAGTCGGGCTGATGCTGAAAGCTATAGATAGAAAGACATGTATTGCTCTGTGCTGCAGCCAAAGCTAAGTTTGGGGCTCCCCTAGAAAACTAATGGAGAAGCAAATTCAGTTGTGGTGTTAATGCTTCTCCCTCTGATGATCAGATTGCATGTATGTGAAAGTAAAAGCATATATCCTAAAGCACCACCATCTCTGTTGACCCTCATTCCAAGGAAACCGAACCCTGGGAAAAGCACTTGGAAGCCCTGGAGTCTCTCACTGCTTGGGGATTGGGGTAGTGTGTAACAATATGAAAAACTCTTCCCTTAACATGACTGGCGCATATGCAGCCATATGCGTATTGCTAATCTAAAACCACATAAGAGAATACTGATGTGTACAGCTGTAGACTATACATGGATTTTCTCTTAATGAGATCTGCATGTGTTCTGATCTCCAAGATGTGATTGATTTTACACAGGGGACTTTGCCAAAAGAAAGGCCAATCACTGCTTGCAGCTGGGGTTTGCCAGCAAACTGACATCATATGTTTCCAGCTAGAATACACAACCATACACAAAAGATTCCCTGCAGTAACATTTGAGAAACAAACCTTATTGGGACATGTTGCACTTCTTCAGATCCAGCCCCCGGTGCCAAATGCTCGTTTACTGCCTTCCTTCAACTTTCCAGGAGATAGTATTTGCAATGTCATATCTTTAAAAATTGGCTCTGGAAATTAAAATGTAGGCATATTCAGGGAATGTACGAGTTTTATCTAGAACTTAAAATTGGAAGCAGAATAGCATGGGAGACCTCAAACTAACATCCTAAATAAGCATCTCAACTAAAAGGCAGGGACTTGTTGTTCAGGATGCTGGCAGGAAAGAACTTTGAGAATAGAGTATAGTCTCAACACCGTGCGTGGAAATCTGAAGTTGCAATTCTCTGCACACTTTGGAGAAACATACTTGCGAGAAAGCATGTTTAAGATTAGAAAGGCTAGTTTCTAATCTTTGAGGGCCCTTGAGCAACTTGGTTCCTTAACTGGACTTGGGGGAAATAACAGTGGGGAGGGGAGGGGAGTGATATTGTGGAAATTGGATGCCCATTGGTTGGGCACACTCTAATGATGCAGGAATCATAGGCTGGTAGTCCCATGTGCTGTCTTTGACACTGCTATACCCACAAAAGAATAGCACTTGTAGTGGCAGCTCTTGTTTGATAGGATCTTGACCTCAGCAACTGCTCAAGTCGTAAGGACCACTTTGCAAGTCCTCCCATTTCACCCGTAGAGGCAATGCGGTGATTATTTCTTCTCCCTGCTCTTTCTCCTCCTCGACAACAACCAAACCCACAAAGCAGTTGAACCAGAATACCTAGATATCTTTCAATTCAGGTGGCCACTCTAGATTAGGTTGGTTCCCTTCACTTAGGGCAGTGATGGCCAAACTTGGCCCTCCAGCTGTTTTGGGACTACAATTCCCATCATCCCTGACCACTGGTCCTGTTAGCTAGGGATGATGGGAGTTGTAGTCCCAAAACAGCTGGAGGGCCAAGTTTGGCCATCACTGACTTAGGGTTATTGTAGGTAGTACAATACTGGGAAACAGACTGCAAATGGCAGGTTTTCAACCCATGAAGGCAATGAAGTTCATGAACTGATAACTGTTCTGTCAATGCAGGAAACTAACAATCACTTAGGGTTGGATATCTTAAGAATGGGTGGTCTGGGCCTTGACTGTCCACATATGGCTTTATCCAGAGATCCAGCATAGATGTATAGGCACATGCCTATCTTCTGACACCTATCTGCTTTGACTGCTAGCTCAGTTGGTAGAACATAAGACTCATAATCTCAGGGTCATAGGTTAGAGCCCCACATTGGGCAAAAGATTCATGCACTACAGAGGGTTGGACTAGATGACCCTTGTGTCTCCTTACAATTCTACAATTCTATTATTCTAAGCTTTCTCGCTTCTTTTATCAAAGGGACAAAGCTGACAGTGTTCTCTGTACAAGGGGTTCCCAAACCAAATAATTTGTTTGGCGTAATTATGTTTATACCTGTGTGTGTTGCTCCTTATTTCCTGTTCTTCTATTATGTATTTATACTTTTATTATAGATATTTGCTTTTCTTCAATATTTTTCCATGAATGTCGTATGTATATATTGATGTACATTATTTCCTCTTTAGCCTTGATGACCTGCTGTCATCCATTCTAGAATTCTCTGAATTTTTGCAATTCTGATTTTTTTTAAAAAAATAAAAAGATGCCCCCATTACAGCTTCCTGCTGCCCACATCCATACATCACCACCACTGGATCATGGCAACCTATACTGGCAAAATGAAAGAGAGTAAGCCCAAATGGAAGTTCTGGGCTCCTCAGCTGATTCTCTCCAGTCCCCGCCTTCCCGTCAACCCACCAAACACCAGGCAAAACCACTCCCTATTTGTAATGCATTCTTAAAACAACTTAAACATGTACAAAGCTGCTTTTTAACTAAGTGGTTGTTCCAGGATCACGTCTAATTTCCAATACTTATGAACAAAATATTTCCACTGAGGATTATTAGGGAACCTAAGTGGCAAAGAGGAAATGAATAAAAAGAAAGCAAAAGCCCTGCTGAAGAAAAGAGAGGAAAAAAGCTGAAGACGTCGATTTACATTTTTCTTTTTTGAATCAAATTGTGCCAGGGCTTTGCATCTTTAATAATAATAAAATGCAATGGCACCACTAATCGTGCTTCTGTTTCATTTCATAGCTCTTCCTTGTCGCTGTGTACTAAAACAGCCTCGCAAGGGCTGAGAAGGCATGTGGCTAGCAGCCAGGCAGACTTTAGCCAGCCATCTATACTGAAGAAACACATTGCAATGGAATGATTTGCAAGTGATTACATGCTGAGGACAGGCTTTCGTTTTCGATGCGCCTCTTCCAATCCATTTCTTAAGATGCATGGGGGAAGTCAACTTCACTTGCCCTTACCTTAATTGCACATTACTGCAACTCTCTTGACTTATGAGAACCACGGATGAGACACAAATTTTAAAAACTGGCTTGTTTTGTTAAGAACTGCAGGGAGGAACACAGTTAGGGAAACAGTCGGGAATAAATCTATCTATATATCACATTTTTCGAAAGCCATCCAGCATTCATATTGCAAAGGATTATCGGGGACACGAGAATGAAAGTCATACATGCCGTTTATGTTGACAGTGTACTGAGAGAGATCCCCATTATGATTTTTTTAAATGCAATTCAATAGAGCCCTGAGGAGCACTGAAAAGACTGCAGAGATGGGATACATCCCCTACACCAAGCCTCTGCTCATTGATTAGACAGAGAAAAGGCACTTTCCCCCCTTAATTAATTTGATTAAAAAGCAAACTCTTCCTGCAGGCAAGCAAGGTGGACAAAGGAAGGACATCTCCAACCTTTCAAGGACAGTTGTTCTAATTTCACCTACACTAGATATATAGAATTCCATCTTTTATAATAAACCTGGCTACCGTTCTCAAGATATAAAGATCTGTATTCAACCATTGATTGCAACACTCAAAGCTAAGGGAGAGAAAAACAATTATAGTCACAGATTAACCTTGGCTTGAGTGAAAAGCTGTTTCACCTCTATATGAGATGCCAAACCTGAGGTTTTTTTCAGACTGTCATGAAAAAATATTGCTGTTCCAATAATAACTCATATTAGTGTTATTAAATCCCTGAAAGCATATGCTTGTAATCCCCTAATGGCTAATACTTAGTTTTCAAACACCACATAAATTTGACCACCAAACATGCTTTTGTATAGCACGGTAGAAAATGCTGGCACTGCATCAAATTGCTTAACATTTCAGGAATCTGTCTCTAGTGAAGATGCCCTTTGAGGCCCTCAGGAATGGAATCCTATAGGGAGATAAATATGGATACCGTTAAATGGGGTTCTTTAGAAATTCTACCCAGTCCTTGGTTTTCTTCCTCCTTGCTAATGAAGACATCACATTTTTGGTGCAACCTTGGAAAATCTGACTCCTCACCCTGGTTGGAGGGAGTCTGCTCCTGAACACCAGTTGCTGGAAACTGCAGGATGGGAGAGGGCCCTGGGGCTCAGGTCCCACTTTTGGGTATCCCACAGGCATCTGGTTGGTCACTGTGAGAAAAGGATGTTGGACTAGATGGACCATTGGCTTGAGTCTCTCTACCTCTCTTTCAAATCGGAACCAGTGAAGACGATGAAGGTCTTGTATGAGTGCCTGGAGGCGGTTGGAGGATGGATGGCGGCTAACGGATTGAGATTGAATCTTGACAAGACAGAAGTACTATTTTGGGGGGAAAGGGGGAGGGCAGGTGTGGAGGACTCCCTGGTCCTGAATGGGGTAACTGTGCCCCTGAAGGACCAGGTGCGCAGCCTGGAAGTAATTTTGGGCTCGCAGCTCTCCATGGAGGCGCAGGTCAATTCTATGTCCAGGGCAGCTGTTTACCAGCTCCATCTGGTACACAGGCTGAGACCTTACCTGCCCGCAGACTGTCTCGCCACAGTAGTGCATGCTCTAATTATCGCCCGCTTGGACTACTGCAACGCGCTGTACATGGGGCTCCCTTTGAAGGTGACCCAGAAACTACAACTATTCCAGAATGCAGCAGTCAAACTGGTGACTGGGAGCAGCTGCCGAGACCACATAACACTGGTCTTGAAAGACCTACTTTGGCTCCCAGTACATTTCCGGGCACAATTCAAAGTGTTGGTGCTGAACTTTAAAGCCCTAAATGGCCTCAGCCCAGTATACCTGAAGGAGCGTCTCCACCCCCATCATTCAGCCCGGACACTGAGATCCAGCGCTGAGGGCCTTCTGGCAGTTCCCTCACTGTGAGAAGTCAAACTACAGGGAACCAGGCAGAGTGCCTCCTCGGTAGTGGCACCTGCCCTATGGAATGCCCTCTGATCAGATGTCAAAGAGATAAACAACTATCTGATGTTTAGAAGACATATGAAGGCAGCCTTGTTTAGAGAAGTTTTTAATGACTGATGTTTTAATATATTTTTAATCTTTGTTGGAAGCCGCCCAGAGTGGCTGGGGAAACCTAGCCAGATGGGTGGGGTACAAATAATAAGTTGTTGTTGGTGGTGGTGGTGGTGGTGGTGGTGTTCCTGTTCCTCCTGCTCCTGCTCTATGCCAGGAGGTAAGATAAAGATTCTACATGAAGAATCGCTTGAATGCCCATTATGAAGGCAACGGGGGTGTTGTAGATGAGCTTCCCCCAACCTGGTGCCCTCCAGATGTTTTGGACTATAACTCCCATCATCCCCAGCTAATGTATTGAACGGTCAGGGATGATGGGAGTTGAAGTCCACAGAGCTGTAGCCAACAAAGTCTTCCCATTAGCGCAAGTAGATCTGCCTGCATAACAGGAGTTCCTTCCCTCCTCCTCTCCCTGTACATTCCCTGTGCCCCCACCATGCTCTGCTGCCTATGGGGAACATGCCATCCAACATTTTGGGAGGGTAAATTGAGGCACCCCATCCTGTCACTGCTGCTGCTCTCTGCTCCTCCCTTGCCCCCTCGCCACTACCCCCTCCCTCACTGACCTGCTCACTCACTGCCCCCTCACCCGCTCACCCATGGCCTTCCTCTCCCACAGCCTTGGGAGAAGCTGCCCTGGTCAGCGCGGCCTATGTAGAAACCGGCATAGCTAGAGCATGGGAGCCAAAAGTCCAGGACTGGGATCAGAAGCTGGGGTGGTTTCTGTCAATCCAAAATGTCCTGCTCAAAACGGGACGGTTGCATGGTATGTGGGGTGCACACAGGGAGAGGAAAGGAAAGGAAAAGAAAAGAAAAGGAAGTCCCATTACAGATGGGAGTCCTTATGCTAACAGGATTAAATTCATGGGCTACAATACAAAAACATCTGGAGGGCAACCAGGTCAAGAAATACTAGTGTGAAAGGCCTTTGGACCACCATTTTCACTTCAAAACTTTGATATTGTCAGGGGTTCCAATTACCCTTGAATGGTTCTCAACACATCCAAGTAAGCCTTTCAATTTAGAAAGTGCTACATTTACTTGCTGTAAGGTAACTGCCACTGGGGTCATAAAGACTACCCATAGATGACCTCTTTGTTCTACGTCTTCAGCTGCCCCTGATGCCTTTGTTCCTGACAAAGCCACTATGCTTTAAAAATCACACCACAGACAACGATTTGGCGCGTGATGTTTTCCCCATCATGCTAGGAAAGTCTGCAGCAGCTGTGTTCTCTTTCTTGCTTCCTCACAGTCAACTCAAAGCTAATAAACCTACAAATATTATGAATCAGAAACCTCTGTAAAAATATGGAGCTGATGCCTTATTAACCTGCACAAATACATTTGAAGTAAAGAGTACATGTGGGTGCTGAAAAGCACATTATTTCATTTGTCTGACAAATGTCTAGGATCTATCTAAAATTTTTATCATGCTCTGGGGAGTCTTTGGTGCTCTGCAAAAATTAAACAGAGAAACATTCTTAAACCCAGTGAATCATCTTTATAATTGCACATCTGCTAGGAAAAAATCATTCATCTCTGATTGGAACTACTAAAACTATGCTTATAGCACATAAAACCATCCAGTGGTTGTTCTGCACAGGACTCCCTCTGACCATTGTTGGGAGTGCATATTTTTTTTCATAACTTGAAAGTTTTATTGACTCTTCTTTAGTAGGAAAACCAATCTCATCTACCAAAGAGAAATCTTCGGGCAGTTTGCTTCAGTGAAGTAGAAATGGAGGGAAAAATTGCACAGTTCAAACTTTAAAGCAAAACAACATAATCTTCCTGATCCAAGATCCAGCTATCAGATGGATAATGCACATCTCAAAAAACGTACGCCACAATGTGTATTTAACATAAAAATG